GGGGTCTTGGCCTTCCTCTACCGCCCCTCAGTCTACGACTGGGAAAGCTGAGGCCACCAACCCAGGGGCTCCTCAGACGCATGGCAGGGGCTTGACATCTGAGCGTCCCTGTGGGCCAGCGTGGGGCCAGCACAGGGGCGGGTAGTGCAGTGTGACGTGTCTGAGGTGGCAGGTGGGTCGGCTGAGCTGGAATCCAGTTCCACCATGCTGTGGTGTACAGCCTAGGGCAAGATTCTCAACTTCTCTGAACCTCCTTTTTTTTTTTTTTTTCATTTGTAAACTAGGAAGAACAAGACTTACTTCACAGGTCTGTAGTGAGAATGAACAAAACAATGTGTGCAAGATAAATATCTCAGTGTAAGGTGGCTATAACTGGTTCATTCAATAAATATTGACTGAACACCTATGCATCATTCTCAGTTAGTTCTAAAGAAAAGAAACCAAGTCAGCAATGTCCAGGTTCCCTGATCTCCCATCCTCTTCTTTCCTGATGCGTTCCCCCGCCCTTTCCTAATCTGTCTAGAGCAAGCAAGCAAGCTTAGTTGCTCAGTCATGTTCAACTTTTGCAACCCTTTGAACCGTAACCCACCAGGCTCCTCTGTGCATGGGATTTTTCAGGCAAGAATACTGGAGTGGGTTGCCATTTCCTTCCCCAGGGGATCTTCCCAAACCAGGGATCGAACCCACATCTCTTGTGTCTCCTGCATTGCAGACATATTCTTTACCCACTGAGCCACTGGAGAAGCCCCTGTCCAAAGACGTCTCCCTAAATTATCCAATTACAGATATTCCTGCCATGCTCGGAAGCCACCAGTAGCCCCCTGGTGCCTAGAGTATCAGACCCCAGCTACCAGGTCTGATAGCCCTCAAGGTCATCCCTGATCCAGCTCTCACCTCTCTTTCCCACGAGGTCTCCCCTTATTTTGTGACACCTCTGAGTGTCTGGTGGCCCTGGGTAGAACAGCGATCCTCTTCATCATTGCCAACAAACTCCTATCAACTTTTTTGGCCTCTTTCCTCCAGCGGCCCCCACTGCCTGCATGGGAGTGGCTGTGAAGCTCGGTCAGCCTCTTCATCTAAGCATCCACCTCACCCCAACCACTGCCCCCCCCAACCCCCGCCCCCACCCTACCACACACACACTGCTTCCTTCCATCACCAGCTTTGGCAGGAACTGCTGGGTCCATCACACATACTGGGGCGAACATTGCAGAGGGTGACCTGCACTCTGCCACCGTCCAGCCAGTGTCATTCACCTTCATTATGTTGCCAAGGCCTTAGATGCTGGCCCCTCTGCCCCTGAGCCTTAGCTTCGTCCAAGGTCCTGGTCCCCTTCCAGGTAACAGGCACAGTGCCTCCAGCTGCCCTCCAGGACTATCAGGGCCCAGGGCCCAGACTATCATCCAGGCAGAGCCCTCAGCACGTGGGAGGGAGAGAGCCCAGAGGAACCTTCACCCCCACCCCCCCTCCCCAGGGCTCAGTCCTCTCTCTAGGAGCCTACCAAGTCTTCCCAACCTCTGCTTGCCCCTCACACGGCTGCCTGTCCCTCTCTCACTCTTAGTTCATTCTGAGCTGAAAATTGCCTCCATGAACCTCTGCTGATCCATTCATTCCATCACGAGTTCATGCAACACGTGTCGCGCATCTACGCACATGCGCCAATCAGTGAGGCGGGAGGAAGATGCTGACGTGGCGATGACAGCGAGGATGGAAATGAAGGAGGAAACTGAGGCTGGAAAGAGACAGGTCACCACACAGAATCTCTCAGCCGGGGGGTGGGAGGTGGGGGGCAGCCAGGACTCGTTTCCATCTCCGTGCCCCAGGCCTCTGCCCTTTCTTTCCCCTGAATTAGATGTACCCCGCGCAGGACTTGGGGAGTAATAATACCTGCGGTGGTGTGGGGAACTAGCCATCGGCTCCCCAGAATTTGGGGGAGGGGCTCAACAGAGGGGCCACTGGGAAGGCTCCCTCCTCCCCGGCCCCCGCCCCAAGGAGCCTCCTTCTGAGAAGGAAGTATTATTTAACGGACATTGTGTTGGGAGGGGAAACACGGGGTCCCTGGAGCTCCGCCAGCCTCCTGCCTTCAGGCTGTTTGGCTTTGTTTGTTTTTTCGGCCCCTTTTTTTTTTCCTTTTTCTTTGGGCTAATTGTTCTCATTAAATCTTTTTGTCCTGTTTTGTTTTTTACCGCGACTGACAATGCTGCGCGGTGCTCAGCGCCGCTTCCTGTGTTTCTGCCCCAGCTCAGGCCTCCAAGGGGGCCTTGCTTCCTGTTGTGAGCGGTTGCCATGGCGACTCGAGGCCCCCCAGTGGGCTCCACGGGGGTGGGAGGGGATGGGAGGTGGGGGGGGAGACAGGGTTGACATCATCGGGTGAGGAGGCAAGGGGCCGGGGTCTGGGGGCGGGGGGGGGCGGTGAATGGAGGCCGGGCAGGCAGTGGCGGGAGCCTGGCGGCGTTGTTGAGGGGTGACTCATAGCCTGGGAAGGGGAAGAACGCCCTCACATTCTTTCGGGAGGTAAACAAGGTCAGGGAGTGCGGCCGGGGATCCTGTTTACCTGACCCTGCCCCCCCCCCCGACCCCCCGGGGACCAGGAGCCTGTGCAGGACAAGACGCTGGAACAGAACCAGACAGGCTCAGGGGCCAGGGCAAGGTGGGGGGCCTGGTGACTCCAGCCCAGACCCCCCGGTGAGGGCTGGTGGGCCCAGCTGCAAGGTGACAGCTCTGAACTTCAAGCAGGCCACTTGCCCCCGAGCCTTGGTGCCCTCTGCTTCTAATGGGGCGGTCCTCCGGAGACCCCTTGTTCTCCCATCACTTGGGCCTGGGTCCGGGTGGGCCTGTCTCTAGGCAACCTCTGCCGCACAGCCCTTTGAGGCCCTGTAGTCTGTCCCCACCCACCGACAGGGCCTGATCCAGGTCAGGGATGGGAAGGCTGCACCTGATCCGGCCAGGGTGATGTCCGAGAGGGGTGGCCCAGACCCAGGGCTGGAGCAAGCAGGGAGAGATGGGTCCGCAGCTTGGGGTGTGGGGGCACCTCTAGAATCTCACGGCTGGAGCCTGGAGTCCCTCACTTCTCCCCCCTCCACCCCTGAATTTCCCTTCAGCCTTCCCAGAAGGCTACCTCCTATCCCTGCCCCTCTGACAAGTGACAACCACCCTGCCCATCACCGAGGGCCCAGAAAGTGTCCCTCCTGGATCCAGGGGGCCTGAACCCTGGTCAAACTCCTGGATTCCCTGATGCTGGGCTCCTGCAAGAACAGGGGTGGGGGTGGGGGTCAGAGCTGAGCATCAGCCCCTGTATCTCAGAGACAACCTCCCACCTTGACCCTTTTCATATTGCCAAACAGACCAGCTGCCCATGGGAGGAAGGGTCTGCCTCTCCACAGCATGCCCCCATATTCTGCAGGTGTCATGGGGGGCCCCAAGAGACAGCCTCTAGGGGCCACAGTGGAGATGAGGCCAACCAGCCTGGTGGCTAAGAGCAAGGGCCTCCACTAAGAGCAAGTTTGCTCAACTATCAGACTGGCTTGGACCAAGTCTGCCTTTGCCACTTGCCAGCTGGTACCCTCAGGCATGTTCCCTGGCTCCTCCAAGTCTCAGTTTCCTCACCTGGGAAAGAGAACCTCATAGAGTTGGTGTGATTGAGTTGATACCTGTGAATGAAGCACGGGGTACATAGTAGGTCCTCAACAAAGCCCTGTCCTGCCCAGACCCACTGTGTGCCCCCCCGTGGTGCCAGCCCCCCCAGGCTCTCCTGTACCGAGTGCCCATCCCAGTGCCCATCCCAGGGCAGGAGCGGTGCCCACCACATGCCCTGTGGTTTTCCCATAAAGGGGATGGCCGCGGGCTTCCCTGGACAGGGAATATCCTGTTCTCGGAGTGGGGGGAGGAAGAGGAGCGGGAAGGACACAGCCGCTCCGCATTCCTGGCATTCTTGGCCGGAGCCTGTCCAGCTGCCTGGAGCAGGCGCTGCCGGGGGTGCTGGCCCAGTGCCACGCTGTCCTAGCCTGGCAGAACAACATCCCACTTAAGGTGCCTCTTGGACTTGGGGGACAGGGGACCCCTCTCTCTACCATCCCACTCACCCCAGGCTATCACAGAAGCAGACAAACCCTAACCCAGGAAGGAGAGACCTGGGGGGCCAATAGGGGAGAGGGCTCTTTTTTTTTTTTGTAATTTGACTTGCTTCTTTATTTTTTTAAAATTTATTTTTAATTGAAGGATAAGTGCTTTACAGTATTGTGTTGGTTTCTACCAAACATCAACACGAACCAGTCACAGGCTTACCCATGTCCTGGCCCATTTAAACATCCCTCCCGCCTCTCTCCCATCCCAACCCTCTAGGTTGTTAACAGCCCTTTTAGGAGTTCCTTGAGTCATACTGCAAATTCCCATTGGCTGTCTATTTTACATATGGTAATATACGTTTCGTTGTCACTAGGGAAGAGGATTCTGCTTTCAGTTCTGCCTGTGGGGCTCCCCAGATTGTCCCCCATCCCCAGGGAATGGGATTTTGTGTGTCTATGGGATTTTTTAGGCAAGAATACTGAAGTGGGTTGCCATTTCTTTCTCCAGGGGATCTTCCCAACACAGGGATCGAACCTTTGGCTCTTGTGTCTCCTGCATTGGCAGGCAGATTCTTTACCACTACCACCCAGGGAAGTCCTGGAGAATGGTTGGGGGGAGCAGGGGTGGCTGGGTCAGGGAAGGAGAGGAAGAGGCAGAGGGCTCCGAAATTCTAGTCTTTGGTACCTGGGACAGTTACTTTTCCTTTATGGGACTCAGTTTCTCCATCTGCAAAATGGGAGGGTGGTCTCCCTCCTTTGGGCAGTCTCCGCCTTGCTTCCCTGTGGTGTCACGGTCTGGTAACTGCCTCTTTGCAGAGCCTCTTCCCCTAATCAAGGGCAGAAACCCAGCTCTTCTGTGCACTGAAGAGCTGGGGCAGGTTAGGGTGATTTCCACTGCTTATCTAGGCCAACTCCATTTGCAGCAATGATCTGCAGACTTCTGAGACTCAAGAGAAGAGCCGGAAACAGTGCAGTCCCAGGGTGGTCAGTCTCCAGAGTCTCCTGCATGGGTGTGTCTTGGTGGGTCCTGGGAGGGAAACGACTTGTCCAAGACCCCACAGTCAGCCATGTTGAGCTGACTCTGGACCCCATGCATGCATTCATTGTTCCTTCCCCAGACTGCCCAGAGCTGAGTTCGTTCTTTTCCGTGTTTTTCTGCAAACAGAGCAGAGCAGTCTGGGAAGGAGCAGGGACAGGACAGCTCCCAGGGGTCGCCTCAGAAACTGCTGTCCTCAGGAGACCACACCCATGCACAGGTGACTGTAGACATGGGCCCCTGTCCGCTCTGAACTGTCCTCTGCACTGGGGGACCCGGGAGATCCCCCAGGGCTGGGTGGGGGAGGGTGGGAGGGATGTGCTGGAGTGGACACACTGGGGGTCAAGCCTGGGCCTCCAGTGTCTGGACTCCCTCCTTCGTGCAGTTCAAGAGCCACCCCAGGCCCATCTGCCCAGTCCAAGAGGCCCTCCGAGCCGTCTGCCCTCCTTGCCCCTTAATGCAGTTCAAAAGCTCTTTGCCGTCCTTGGGACAGAGACCAGGGCACTCTGGTCCAGGCCACACGGGGAGCCAGAAAAGGCTCTTTGCTGGAGTCAGGAGCTCTGAGAGGTCCCAGTGCTAGACCTCTGCGCCTGCATTGACCATTGGAGGGCAGAGCCTCCACGCTCCCAGGATTCTGAGGGTCCAGTGTTCCGCTCAGCGGTCTCCCTTTAGACACACTCGAGGGCATTAAGCAGAGGAAGCCCCGTTCTGTCACCTGCTCTGGCCTGAGACTTGCCCGTCAGAGCGCAGCCTTGCTGCCCACCGCCCCACCTTCCCCATCCCCTGACCTCCTTAAAAGCCCAGACACCCCAAAGCCATTGCATCTGCTTCCCTTGACCCCTGTCTGTCTCCTGTCTGCTCTCTCTGTCTGCCTGTCTGGTGTCTGTCCCAACATCTGTCTGTCTGAGGGACAGTAAGAGGAAAAGGCTGGAACCCCACCCTGCTGGGTCCACATGACCAGTGTACTGTTCACCCCGGGCTGGGAAATCACCTCCATTGTGAAGATGGGGAGCTGCCGGAGTGTGTGTCAGGGTGTTTATCACACAGCGTGCTGTCAGAGTGTGGGGGTGGATGGGTGGGGGTTGTGTATGTGTGTAGAGGTCAGGGGGGCAGTGTGTGTGTCATGAGCCCTTGGTGAAATAAACTATGATAAACTGACACAGTGAAATATTATGCAGCCGTTCAATATGATGTCTTTGAAGACTAGTAGTCACATAAGATATGGTCACAATATATGCTGTGTGCTCAGTTATGTCCCACTCTGTGATCCCACAGACCATAGCCCACCAAGCTCCCCTGTCCATGGAATTCTCCAGGCAAGAATACTGGAGTTGGTTGCCATTTCCTTCTCCATGGTCACAATATAATATTTAATAAAAGAATAAAATGAGTGCCCAGAATAAAAAGTTAAATGTTGATAATGCTATATATATATATATCTGGATTCTTAGCTAATAAATGCTAATAATTGATTATCTCTGGATTGTTAAATTAGGAGTAATCTTATCTTTCCTTTATACCCTTGCATATTTTAAATGTTTTCTGCAATGAGCACGTGTCCATTTTATAATCAGAAAAAGGAGAACAAAGGTACTAAAAATCACATTAAAGATAAACTAGAAAATAAAGAAACAAGACTTAAACTAAGGCCTAGCAGAAATACTGAACTTAAAACTGAGTCATATGTTCAGCTTAAAGTCAGTCAACACTGAATGAGCACCTACTGGGTGCTGGGGATCAGTGGAGAGAGATTATAGAAATGCTCAAGACATAGCCCTCCCTGGCAAGTCTGTCCACTGGGAGGGTGGCACAGTCAGCAGGCACAGACAACGCTGACACAGATGGAATGTGATTCCCCACAGGAGGGCACCAGAGAGAGAGAGATGGGTGAATCAGGAGGGCTTCAGGGAGGAGGTGACTGCTCACAGGAGGGCTTCAGGGAGGAGGTGACTGCTCACACGAAGGCTTCAGGGAGGGCAAGAGTAATGGAGGGAGGTGTGACAGGGTGGTGTTAGGAGACCTGCCCTATGTCTGGAGCATCATTCAACTACAGAGCAGGAGAGACACTCAGGCTGCAATTCACTAGAAGCCTGCTGTGCTGGAGCTAAGTAGGCATTCAAAGGATTGGTCAGCAATTCACTCGTGCATTTATTCACTCAAGAAACATTCCTATTAAGTATCTACTATGCGCCATGCACTGTTTGGGCTTCTCAGGTGGTGCTAGTGGTAACCTGCTAGTGCTGGAGACACAGGAGACTAAGGTTCGATCCCTGGGTCAGAAAGATCCCCTGGAGAAGGAAGTGGCAACCCATTCCAGTATCCTTGCCTGGAGAATCCCATGGACAGAAGAGCCTGGCGGGTTACAGTCCATGGGGTCACAAAGAGTTGGACGTGAGTGAAGCAACTTAGCAGGCACGCACATGTACTGTTTGGGGATCCCCAAGGGCAGCTTCTATTCAAGTGGAGGAAAACAGGCAATAGAACCATTAATGAGTAAAATGTATGTGAGGCCAGATGGTAAGAAGTGCAGAGAAAAGACGAGGCTGAATGGGGAGGCAGCAGTTCATTTGCTATGAGGTGATCAGGGAAGATTTCATCCGCGCATGGTATTTTGATCTCAGACTAAAGGAAGTGAGGTGTGGGATCTGGAGGAGGAGGACTTGGGGAGGAGGCAGAGGGATGGCAAATGCAGAGCCCGAGGGGAGGGCAGGGGAGGCGAGGTCCACTTGGGGCCCACAGTGAGGACCTGCAGCAGCCTGGGGCTGGGTGGGTCAGTAAGGGACTGGGGAGAGGCAGGGGCTGGACTGGGCTGGCAGCCTAGAGGTGAGCAGGATGAGGAGTCTGACATGTTTGAAGGCGGAGCTGACAGTCTTTGCCCCATCGGCTGGGGACCGGTAAAGGAGAGGGAAGGCTAATTCCAAGGTTTGTACCCCAGCTTTGGGAGGCTGGCTGGCTGGGCGGGGCAGCGTCTGGATGGGTGGCAGCAGGGAGGCAGGCACTGAGGTTGGACAGGTTGAGGCTGAGATGCCCAGTGATAAACGCAAGTCATCCACGGGGAGTGGTGAAGCTGGCATGACATTTAGGTGTTGTGGGCTTGTGGGTGGTAATTAACCTATGAGAGAAGATGGGATGGCCTGGAAAATGGGTGCAGGCAAGAGGTCCAAGGACTGAGCCCTGGGCTTCCCCCAACATTTAGAAGTCAGAGAAGGAAGGAAGGCCCAGCAGAGGAGCCTGAGAGGAATAACCAGGGAGGTGGGGGCCCAGGAGAGCAGGGCCGGGGTGGGGGGGGAGAGCATGGTCCTCAGCCAAGGTGCTCAGCCTTCAGCAGCATGCAAGTGGATGGGGACACGAGAGGTACAGTTCCTGCAGAGCGGTGGGGGCAAGACTTTTAGGAAAGAGAGGGCTTGGGAAAGAATAGAGGAAAGGAAGTCAAAAGGGCAAGTGAAGCCTCTTCCCAGGACTGTTGCTGAATAGGGTAGCAGCGGTGCCACCTGATACCCAGACAAGAGGCTCAGAGAGCCCCACGTGGGCCTCTTCCCAAGGGATGTTCATGGGACAACTGTTTGCTGCAGGGGTGGGGGTGGGAGCAGGAGGCATTGGACAGAGCTTGGTCTGGGCTAGGTGTCCACACACAGGTGCTCAGGGCCATTCAAGGTGTGGGTGGAGCCAGGGGTGAGAAAGAAGGGGGCTGGGCTGGGAACCAGGGCAAGTGCCAAGTCCAAGGCTGGTTGTCCTCTGTGACCATGTTCAAGGAGTGGGAGCATTCTGAATCCAAATCCTTCATTAAGAAGATCAGCTTCCCAAGTAGAAAGACAGATTTGAGTTAAGTTAGTCCACGTGTTTGTATCATTTTGATATTTAGACTTAGGGTATATGGGCCTCTCTCTTGTACTCTTCTCCAAGGCACTGCAAATGTTAGGGTAGACCTGGGAGCAGAGAACTTGAGTGGTGGGGTGAAGACAGGGTTGTTTTGGGGTTTGATTAATTTTCTTTTTTGTTTTTAAGATGGGAGAAGAATTAGCATTCTCTCCTGAAGAGTTTTCGTGGAAGAGAGGACACTGGTGGTGCGAGAGGGAAAGCAAATTGCAAGAAGGAGATAAAATCCAGGGCGCAGGTGGGCCTTAGGGAGACTCTCAGATACTCCATCCACAAGACCAGGGGGACGTCAGTGTGAGCGGGTGCGGGGCCAGGTTGTAGGAGCGTGTGGGCATTCTCCCATGATTCCTTCTGTTATTTCAGTGAAAAAGCAGCAAGATCATGGGTCATAAATATGGGAAGAGGGCCCTGGATATTTGCAGAAGGAGGCAAATGAGAGAAAGAACCCTCTCCCATGGAGGGGGAAGCAAGCAGACCAGAAAAATGTGTCAGCATCACGCATCCACACTGGCCGATCACGTTTTCCCAAGATGGGAACATCTCCCACCCCACAAGTTCTTCTAGAACCTTCTATGCCTCCACTAAGAAATGGAGTCTAATTCTCCTCCACTTGAACCTGGGCGGGTTTGTGACTCACTCATTACTGATGGAATGGGTGGAAACAGCAGTACAACCCTTCTGAAGCTACATGAGAAGAGCTTCTGTCTTGTAGGATATCCATGCAGGAGCCCTGAGCTGGGGCCATACTGTGAGGAAGCCCAAGCTAGCCCATGAAGAGAGAACCTGGAGAGTCTCTAAGTCCATGGAGGGAGAGGGATGCCAGTCAGGGCTCAGATGTTCCAGCCTCAGCCACTCAGTGAGACCCTGAACAACACAGCTGAGACCCTCCCAAATCCATGACCCCCAAAATCCTGGTGAGATAATAAAATGTTGTTGTCTTAAAACATTGCATCTTATTTAATGATGCAGAAATAGCTAATTGGAACAAATACCAAAAACCTAGAGATTCATGGGCATGACTTTAAATGATACAACCCTTCGGCTCAGCAATATCCAACAGATTTTTGCAGGGACAAGGCCTGCCCAGTGGCCACGGTTCCCCTCCTCAGCTCAAGGGAGGAGTAGAGAGGATGAAGAAGAAAAGACAGAAGGGATTGGGTCTCAGATGTCAGGATAAAGTCTTGGCCTTGACCCTGTAGACTACTGAGCGTGCCCCAGTGAGAGCTGTTTACATTCTGTGCGCATGCCAGGCCCACTGTGGTGTTAGCAATATAGAATACAGCTCACATCCTCGGAGGACCTGGAGTTGGGGGTGGAGAGGCCTGGGGACTCAGCATGGCTGCATCCCCAGTTCCTCCCATCTGTCTGAGGCCTCCAGTAAGACATCAGTAGAGTGGAAAAGGGGTGGGGAGTGATGAGCCTCAGTGCTCCCATATGAAGAATGGGGGGCCCTGGACTTAAGGCCTCTAAATGTTCTTCGGGCTCTGAGACTAAGGACGGGGCAGGGACATTTTTGGTGCTGGGCTGGATCCTGGGCTCCATCCTGTGAGTGGGACATGCAGGAAAAGGACTCGAGGCCTGGCCCTCATCATTCTACAGGCCTTATTCAGGATTTCTGGGTTCCAAGGAAGAGAAAACCCAACATATAGGGGCAATGTAAGCTGAAATTCCTATCCACTGGCCATCTGATGCAAACAGCCAACCCATTGGAAAAGATCCTGAGGTTGAGAAAGATTGAAGGCAGAAGGAGAAGAAGGCAACAGAAGATGAAATGGTTGGATGGCATCACCGATTCAATGGGTAAACTCCAGGAAATGGTGAGGGACAGGGAAGCTTGGCATGCTGCAGTCCATGGGTTCGCCAAGAGTCAGACACGACTTGGCAACTGGACAACAATGGGGGCTTTTAAAGACTAAAATCTATGAGCTATATAGTAACTCAAAAGCACAGGGGTTTTTGAGGTTTCAAGCAAAGCTTGATTCAGTCAGGCAAACAGGGTGACAGGACCTGGTTCCTCTGCCTCTATCTCTCAGCTCTACATGGTCACATTTGCTCCTTTCCCACGCTGGCTCTCCCCTGGGGATCTCAGTATGTCCCCCAGTCAGGTCTGGGTCTACTTGCTTCTCTTCAGGTCCAATTGAGAGAAAGTCTGCCTCCTGGAGACCTCAAGGAGAGGTGGTTGCTGTGATTGGCCCGACCTAAATCAGGTGTCTATCCCTGAACCAATCACAACAACCACAGGATGAGATGTAGTAACTGGCTTAAACCAATCGGGGCCTATTTGAAGCTGGGGTGGGTCTACCCCCGTCCAGTCATGGGCTGGGGACCGGGGGATGCTGTCAGGAGGGAGGCAAGAGACTGGGTGCTAAGGAGAAAAAAGTAAAAAGTGAAAGTATTAGTCACTCAGTCATGTCCTACTCTTTGCGACCCCTTGGGCTGTAGCATGCCAGGCTCCTTTTTCCATGGAATTCTGCAGGCAAGAATACTGGTAGCCACATTCCCTTCTTCAGGGAATCTTCCTGACCCAGGGATGGAACCTGGGTCTCCTGCATTGCAGGCAGATTCTTTACCATCTGAGCCACCAGGGAAGCCCCAAGGGTGCCAAGGAGGACCTCCCCTTTGCACCCCCTCCCTGCAGTGTCTGCTACTACAGGACTCCGGAGAGCAACAGACAAAGGCCCAGCCCGTGTCCCTTGGTCTCAGCAGCAGAACCTTCTAGAGACTGCGTGCTCTGTCAGAGAGGAAGTGGTTGAGCACCGGAAAGCGGGGGAATCTCCTATCAAGGCCATTTCCAGTACCAGCTGCCCATCCGGCCGGCCTGGAGCCCTGGGATGGAGGCGGCCACCGTTGGCCGGAACTCAGGATCTGCCTGGGACATTTGAGCAGCTGGAGACTGATTAAGCTGAGAAAAAGGCAGGCTGGAGATCTTGGGGTTGGGGAAGCCATCTGACTCTTCCCTAACACCAAAAAAGGGAACAGAAAAGGTCAGCTTAGGCACTGGGAAAAAGCCAAACAAGGAGTGCAAGACGGAAGCAGACAGCTCCTTCCACCTGAGCTCAGCTCTGCAGGGTGCTGCTTACTTGCTCGCCCAAGAACCCAGCAAGCAAGGCTGCATAGGGATGACCTCGTTGCTCAGATGGGGAGGTGGAGGCCCCAAGAAAAGTGACTCACCTTGCAAGGTAGGGCAAAGCCCGGGTATGAACCTGAGCCCTCTCAGGACTCCCCTCCTCCCGTAGCACAGATGAGTCATGCCCATTCCCACGCACAGAGTCGCGTGATGGTGAGGCCACGGGGTGGGAGGACATCCAAATCCCCCTACACCCTCACTATTCCAGAGGCCCGGCAGAGAGAGGAAGGGGGCTGCAGAGTCCAAGTGGCCCAAGTTCAAATCCGGCCTCTGCCACTCTGGCTGTATGAACTTGGACAAGTCAGGGTCCGCATTTATAAAATGTACCAAGTACTTTCCTGAGAGGTTGTTGGGAGGAGTGATTGACATCACATATGCAAAGCCATTGACACAGTGCAGCACATGGTGAACGTTCCATGCCTCGTGTAACAGAAGGAGAGTTTGTCAGGTTTAATTACCACATCGCCGCAGAAATGCTGTGATCTGCTGAACCCAGTGCAGCAAGCTGCAGAGGGCGGGGGAGGGGCTATCCCAAGTAAACCCCGAGAAACAGAGTAGGGGTGGGGCGTTGTCAAGAAATTCACCAGGACAACAGATGCGGGGGTCCTGGCTTTCTGGGAGGGATTCAGAGCGCTGTCCCCGCTGCTCATCAGAACAGACACTGCAGGATCTGTTTCTCCTCTTTCCCCAGGGATTGGACTAGGATCCTCATCCCCTGAGCCTGGGCTCACCAGGGGTGAGTAGGGTGCAGACAGGGGGTCATTGTCCACTCCAGCTGGGCCCAGATCTTGCAGCTGCCAACCCCTCTGGGGCACAGGGTCTTCTTGGACCAGCCCAGCCATGTGTGTGCGGGTTGAGGGGTGTTTATCCCCCAGTTGCCATGGGAGACCCAGATTCTACACTGGGCACTCTCTCCAATGTCCTGACGCTGACCCCAGAGCATCTCGGATCAGCAGGCCTGGGTGGGGCCTGGGAAGACAAAGCCGCCTTTGGCTGCTGGCGGGCGGGTGGGCAGAATGCGTCAGCTTGTCGGCCAGCCAGAGAAACCTGGAAGCCAGCCTTGACATCCCCTCTCTTTGTCACCATGCATATCTTGTTTTTGTCATGACATGACATGACAGATGTTGCTTGCCACTGCTGCCACTGAAGTTGCTCTAGACTCTGGCCCCACTGTCTAAGCCACAAACTGCGGCCCTGGTCACCTCCACCACCTCATCCCTTCCTCCCAGTCTCACAGTCAGCCTGCCCTGCATCCACAGCCAGGGAGACCTTTGAGAAACACAGTTCAACCACATCAATCCCTGGTGTTGAGTCCTTCAGTGAGTATTTACAAAACACGTACCCAACAAAGGATGCATAACCAGAATATACAAAGAACTTCTACAAATTGATCAGGAAAAGAGAGGCAACCAGTGGAGAATAGGCTAGAGACTTTGAACAGGTCTATTGCAAAAGAGGTTCTCCAAGGGGCTTGTAAACACATGACAACATTATTAATCATCAGGGGAATGCAAAATAAAAGCTCAACGAGATACCACTACACACCTGCCAAAATTGCTAAAATAAAAATCATAGAAAGTATAGAGTGATGGTGAGGACGTGGAGCAACCGGAACTCTCAGAACACTGCTGCTGCAGGGACCATGTTTGGTACAACCACTGTTTGGCGTTGTCTCACTGAAACTGGACAGATGCTCACCCCGAATCCAGCAATTTCACTCCTGGGCATAGGTCCAACAGAAATGCATACATATGTTTGTGGGAAGATATGTACAAGATGTTTTTCTTCTGCTTTATTCAACGCAGCCACAATCCAGAAATAACGTGAATGTCCATCATCAGTAGAATGAAGTGAGATTAGACATATGTCACAGTGTTGAGAGGAAGAAGCCAGTCACAAAGAAGAGTATGCTGTGTGATTCCATTTACGTGAGCTTCAAAAACACCAAAGTCAGGACAGTGATATTTTTGGGGAGAAAGGAATGAGGGGAGACACGAGGAGGATTTCTGGGGTGCTGGTAATGTCTCTTGATCTGGGCACTGGTTACACAGGTGTGTTTAGCTTGTGAAAATTCATCCCAGTGAATGCTTATGATGTAAGCACTTTTCTTTACATATATTGCTCTTCAATAAAAAGTTTAAAGAAAAATCCTCCACCTACATTGCCTAAAGTCCTCTGTGGTAGTCCCCACCAGCTTATCCATGGTTCCCTGGACATGCCATGTAGTTCTCTCCACCTGTAATTCCTGATTCCAGTTGGTAAACATTCTGTCTGGGGTCACCACTGCCACCAGGAAGCCCTCCTTTCTGGCCCCAGACAGAGAGGGTTTCTCCCTTCTCTAAAAAGCCATAGGTAACTTCATTTCAGCCCTTACTCATCTGACAGTCACTTCAAAGGGTTTATTAAGCATTTGTAATGTGCCAGACACCTACATGTGTGCATGAGTGCTAAGTCGCTTCAGTTGTGTCCAACTCTATGTGACCCTATGGACTGCGGCCCACCAGGCTCCTCTCTCCATGGGGATTCTCCAGGCAAGAGCACCAGAATGGGGTGCCGTGCCCTTCTCCAGGGGATCTTCCCGACCCAGGGATCGAACCCACATCCCTTATGTCTCCTGCATTGGCAGGCAGGTTTTTACCACTGTCGCCACCTGGAAAGCCCGCCAGGCACTTACACTTGTGAATTAAAGAGTTCTAATTTAGCAGGTAAGATTTTTTTTTTTAATTTAATACTTACAGAA